CCCCCCTAAAACGGCTCGTTCTAACACGCCCCCACATATCTACCTCACTATGTGGAAATATTTGCATAATGCTGCCCAAATGTTCACGCAAAGAAAGAAGGCGTGGTTTCAGTAACCGCAGTTAGTGTTGAAGCAGCCATGTCAGGGAGACGCTGTGTGTTTCTAGGCGAATGCAAAAGTTTAAAAAAACTTTAACCCAGTGTATTCTCATTAGAGCTGTGATGGTGACACTGTGAAGCAGGTGCTGGCAATCCGTTGATTAATCTCTTCTAGCAGCACATGGTTGGCCGCTTCTCGTATTACTAAAGCACAACCCTGTTCCTCTCGTCCAGGTGCTTGACTTATGGATTCAAAGTGTCTATAGCAGTGCAGCGCAAATACTGGTGGAGAAGCTCTTTTATTGTGCCGAGTGGAGCAGATAGCCCCTTTTAGCTCTACTGATCACTTTACAAGTGAGACTTCGGGCTGCTTTTGTCTGTGGTGTTGAGGAAATAAGGTTCCTTTCTTTTTAGTGCCGCCCCTGGGAAATATAGGCAGTGCACTGTATCTACTAAGAAGAGAGTCATAAAAAGTGACATAGTGGTAGATAGCAAAGCTTCCTCTCTGAAAGAAGTGGTCGTTTTAGAAAGACATATATACATAGGGATCCCTAAGCTGTGGGAAAAAAGACCTAGAGCAGGGAGTTAGGGGTAATTATTTAAGCAAAGTGGCGTTTTAAACACTTGCAGCTGATGTGACACTCCTCTGCTGTCAGTACAAGCTGCCCTCGGGCAGTACACTGGGCTGGCGTTCGCTCTAATAGGATGCGAGTCCAATGCGCAACAGCTGTGGTGGATGCGGGCTTCATTGACGTCATGCTGAAATGAACCAATGAATAATCCTTCTGCATAAACATACAGTGATAATCAGAAGGTCCTGTTTATGTTTTAGCATTTCAGAGCTCAGCGTCTGATGATGTAACTAAATCCTCTGAAGCACCGGATCAAGTTAAAGCTGCTGTGCTTTAGTTTGCATGTGTGTTTGTCAATGCTCTGCGAATTTTAGCTGACGAAATACATATGATTGTGAATTTCACGTAGGAGCAAAAGATTTCTCCATACAGAATTTGCCACGGGCTTAAGTTGGTTGCGCGTTGACAGAAAGCTGCTTAATTTGAAAGTGACTTCTGAATTTGATAGTGAATTCTGATTCGTTGTAGTGAATCGGTTTGTCCTAAATGGTCTATTCTTATATATATATATACTGTATATAACTAGTTCATCCTAAACAGGACTAGTTCATCCTAAACAGTCCTCAATGATTCAATGGTCTTATGTAGTGTTCGAAATGCCAGTTAATTCAAGTGAATCGATTCATTCAGACGGTTCATGTAAATGAACAGATAAAACAGATTTAAAAAAAAAAATGATTCACTGATTCAGATCCCTGAACTATGTTTAGTTGTGAAGATTAGTGTGTTTTTGCTGTGTTTGGTATAAACTTACCTTTTCAGGTTTTATAATTTTACTGAAATTGAAAAAAAACCCCACATTTTACTTAAGTGCTTAAGTCCTTGATGTCTTGAAACGAAGTAAGATGCTGAAAAATACAGCAAGCCCCATCACAACCATCAAAGACGCTCATCTAGAGTATGTTTGTTAAGCAATTTAAAAATACCACAGCAACGTCCCCTATGTGTGTTCAAGCTTGAGCCGTTGAGTTTCGTTTAATTACATGTTGTATTGTAGTGCTTCTTTTGACACGTCTAAAAAAATAACTCTTGATTGTTGTGTCTCACAATGCTGTAATTATTTAGTCAAACTAATGTACCTCTAAGATGATAGGATGAACCGCACAAGGCATGAAATGATACTAAAGTTTAGACTTCAAATCTGTGGACCTCCTGCTTCCCAATCGGAGCTATTTTTGCTGTGTTCCATAGCACCTTCCTGTCACATGATCTGAGATGTTAATTACTGAGCAGCAGCTGAAACACAGCACACATTTAACGTCAGCATCACCCTCAGTTACCCTGAGGAACTGCACAGCAAATGCATCTCTTGGCAGATGAGTTTGTTCATTCACTTATAGTGGAAAGAATTATAAAGTTACGAAATGAAGTCACGCTGAATCTGCTCTCCAACTCCCCCACAGTTCTACAGCTGATGATTATGAGGTTTTGCCACTGTCATAAAATCCCCTGCAGACATGCAGCATGTGACAGTCCCTGAAGCTCTCAAAAGGAAACGTCTTATACAAATACTACACCTCTTATACAAATAAATCTCTTAAAGGGACAGTTCATCTGAAAATGAATATTCTGTCATTATTTACTCAGCCTCATGTTGTTTCAAACATGTATGCTGTGTATTGTGTTTTATAGGATACAAAATGAGGCTTTGTTGAAGAGTCTTAATGTAATTCTTTAAGATTTAACTTCCAATGTTGGGGTAACGCATTACAAGTAACACGAGTTACGCTATTAGATTACTTTTTTCAAGTAACGCATTACTTTTAATTAAAAAAAGTTACTTTTTAAAATAAGTAACACAAGTTACTTTGTTTTCTCATTTATTCACTGACAGCTCTCCTGTCCCTGTGTTGAGAGAAATAAATATCACTTTTGGGCTTTTTGTTTTTAAAAATATGCAAGCCCAGCTCACGTGACAAAAAGTAATGCAAAAGTAACGTAATGCATTACTTTCCATGAAAAGTAACTAGTTACTTTTTTATGGAGTAACGCAATATTGTAATGAATTACTTTTAAAAGTAACTTTCCCCAACACTGGTAACTGTAGCTCTTATCAGGTAACTAATGACCACAACTGTCATAAACTCCCAAAAGGACAAAAACAAGCAAACAAAAGAAACAAATAGATCATTGAATCTGATTAGACCGTTAACATCTCACTCAAAAATGACCAAAGAGTTTCTATATTTTTCCTATTTAAAACTTGACTCTTCTGTAGTTACATCGTGTACTAAGACAGACGGAAAATGAAAAGTTGTGATTTTCTAGGCCGATATGGCTAGGAACTATACTCTCATTCCGGCGTAATAATCAAGGAACTTTGCTGCCGTACCATGTGCATCGGCCTAGAAAATCGCAACTTTTCATTTTCCGTCGGTCTTGGTATACGATGTAACTACAGAAGAATCAAGTTTTAAATAGGAAAAATATAGAAACTCTTTGGTCATTTTTGAGCGAGATGCTAACGGTCTAATCAGATTCAGTGATCAGATCCTATTTTCAAAAATAGTGGAGTGTTCCTTTAAAAGGAGTCCAGAGAACTTACTGAAATAGTCTACTGAAACCATATAAGTTTAAACCATATACGTTTGTGTGAGGAACAAACCAAAATTGCCCAAAAGGTTCATGTGTAAACCGTTGTTGTATGGCTTTTTTTGTGTACAAAAATCATATTTTTGTGTTTTTCTGTGTTTATGGAGGAACTAACAGTTATAACAAAGCCATAATAATATGGCTTTGCAGTGACATGAGAGTAAACATTGACAGAAATAATGGCAGAATTTACTTTGTGTTTCTTTAAGGTTGCAATAAAATGGAAGTACTTAAAGGGGTCCTATTATGCTCTTTTACAAAGTCTTGATTTTGTTTTGGGGGTGTACTAGAACATGCTCTCATGCTTGGTGGTTCGAAAAACGCATTATTTTTCACATAATTTACATTATTAAAATACCTTTCTCCCCATCCTGGCACAAACGGCTCGATTAGTTCCGGCTTTGATGAAGGTCCGCCTCCGAAAAACAAAATGTGTTGTGATTGGTTAGCTGTCCCAGTGTGTTGTGATTGGCGAACAGCTTAGACGGTGTTTCAGTACTGCCCCGCCCCTTGCTCCGTCTTTCAACAAAAACTTAATCCGGCACTACTCACTCGTGATGTGGAAGCTGTCCTCAGTAAAATGCGCAGCACACAATAGCAAATTGGCGTTATATTGCTCAGGGACAGAGTTAAAAAATAAATTGCAACCACTATTTCCGTGACATCATCCGCTTTCGGAAGCCCAAACAAAGACGTTTCCCTTTAAAATTTGGTGTCAAATGTTTCACTCAGAATTTGATATTAAATTTGACAGTTAATTACAGAAAATGGCAAGTAAAACATTGAATTAAACATGACTTTTTAAAGTAAAGACTAAAGACTTTTCTTGTTAAATGTACTCCTGTGATCTGTTTTATTTACAACTTTGAAAAATCTTTTTTACAGTGTAGCGGCAAATTTCTTCCGTATTGACATTTATCTCAGTGAAGCAGATTATTGAAAAAGTAAAAAAAATGTAAGGTTGGAACTTGGTTCTTTGCAATGTTAGTTTATTGGATGGACGCAGATCTGAATGTGAGCTTGCAGTCAGTTGTAAAAAGAAGGGGAATATAAGTGGACTGAACGATTGGAAAAGTCCTGCATACGTCATCAGAGAAAAAGATCCAATTATGTTTTAATTAAAAATTACAAGGTCAAAAAAGTTTTAATAAGATCTATAACTCACATTTACAAAATAGATGAAAATTCTCACTTCAAGCTCTGCAGTCCCATTCCCTGCTGTTTTTCTCACCACAATTTTCTGTCCATCATTAAAGACCAGAAACACCCAGAAGATAAAATGAAAATATGCATGTGATTCTCTCCAGAGTTCGGAGTTTGCGTTATTCTTCCTAAAGGTTGTTCTTCAGCTGTCAAAAAAGTGCATTGGGAAAAATAATTCTTAGTATTTGTCTCTAATATTAGCCAAACCAAGACTGATAATTAAAAAAAAAAGTCACAATATTACTGTTTTTACTGTATTTGTAATAAGTGAAACCTTGGTGAACATAAGAGACTTATTATATAACTTATTATATATTTGATCAGTTATGTGTCTTAGGGTTGAGATATAAAAGAGTGTTTGTTTTGACTAATCATAAGGCTGCTATTGTGGTTGTGGTTTCCTGCAATGACAAATCTATTTACATTTATTTGGTAACACTAATGTTTGCCTGAGAAACTTTCATTCTTAGTCTTTTATGAAGGAAGGAATTGTAAAAGGCAGAGCTGGAGAGGACCTGCCTTGGCACTGCTGTGCGATTGATCACCTGGCGTTGAAGCACATGCTTCAAATAGCCCACATCAGTCAAAAGAACATGGAGGCCTATTGATTTGTTTACAAGAGTAGTAGCATAAAAGTGAATAGTGGAAGGGAAAATGTGATAGACCTTTGATGGCAACAACAGTTACGGCTGTGCTGGAGGTCTGTGATGGAGCACTTTGTTCTTCAGCAGCTCTGTGTTCTCAGCTGGACTGAAAGTGGTGGTTGAACATTAATGCGATTTATCTCAGCAAATAAACCTGTGGGATAAAAAAAGGTGTGAGATTCAAATTAGTGATAGACTAAAACAACAGTTAGTTATTGTCCATGGACTGTTTATCTAACAGCACTTGACATTTTTAGTGTTTGTATCAATCCACTTGATTGTGTTAACAAGAGAGCAAAAGTAAAAGAAATTAGCTGGCCATATTGTGTCTAAAATGTAATTTGCTCAATATTTAAAGTAAACTAGGTAGGTTTATTTGTCAGGGACTATATTTTGTAGCGGAAGGTTGAATTTGCTTAACAACAGAACTTTAATGTAAGATTGTGTCCTTAATATTTTTATTATTTTGTATTTTTACACTACTGCTCAAAAGTTTTGGGCTCAGTGAGACCCTTTTTTTTTTTTACTTTTATACAGCAAGGATGCATTAAATTGATCAAAAGCTATTAATTTCTATTTCAAATAAATGCTGTTTTTTTTTTTTTTTTTTACTTTAAATTCATGAAAGAATGCTGGAAAAAAGGTTTCCACTAAAATATTAAGCAGCTCAGCTGTTTTAAACATTGATAATAATAGGACATGTTTCTCAGCATATTAGAATGATTTCTGAAGGATCGTGTGACTGAATACTAGACAAAAATTCCACATTGCATCACAAAAATAAATTACATTTTAAATATAGATCAAAATAGAAACAGCTATTTTAAATTATAATAATATTTTACAATATTACTGTTTTTACTGTATTTTTGATCAAATATATCCAGCCTTGGTGAGACTACTTTCAAAAACAATAAAAAAATCATAGAGCCCAAACTTTTGAATGGTTATGTATATCAATATGTTGTTTATTTTGCATTTTTTATTTATTACATTTTTTATGTATATTTTTTTACCCAATTATATAATTTATTAAAATAATATGTACTGTATATTAATTTTATTTTTTTGGGCCTTCTTACACTCTTACTAATGTGGTTAATTCTGCTCTAAAACAATTCATCCATGAACCAAAAGGTTCAGCATATTTGCGCAACAATAATCTCTAAAATGAAGCTAACCTAAACATGTTTCTTTGCAGGCCAGCAGCACTGGACAGAAAGCCAGCAGAGCTCAGCACCCTCAGTGATGGCTACCAGATCCGCATCTAAGACACTAAACGTACCAGCTTTATCCTCCACACGTCCCCCCTCAGTCAGATCCACTGAAGATGTTTTTAAACACTATTTAATGCACATTGTGAACTGTACAGGATATTGAACATATTTATTGTTGTACTTTCATGTTAGAGAGAGCATTTGGTGCCCTTCTTAGTCAACAGCAAAAGTTAAAAGTGATTTAAAAAAATGTTTTTAACAGAATATGATGTTCCTTTTCCAGCCATAACATTTTTTTTAATAGTGGAACGTTTAAGAGCGAAGGATATTAATTTTGCTTTAAAAATGTTTTTACCCTAGTAATTGTCAAGCATTTTAGAAGACAAAAAAAAGTTGTGAACTGACTGAAATATTCAAGCAAATATGGAAATTTGGGGAAAAGGCTCTATTTTAGGACAGAATGTCCACAAGCAGTGAGAGCTGGAGTGTGAATGGATTGTGCTTGGCAGAGAGATGTAAACCTCAGTGCCTCGTGCTGTGCTGCTGGTAGTTTTGGAGGCTGACTGGGCTGGAGGAGAGAAGACATAAGCTTTTTTTTGCCAGAAGTGCAAGGACACAAGGGACCTAAGCTTCAGAGAGCTACTCATTCTGCCCACAAGAACTGTATTCAATCCACTTTACTTTTTTTTTTGTTTTTTTTTTTTGTTACCTGCATACAGTCCCAAACGCTCCTGTGATATGGAAGGAATGGACATGATTTATTGACTAAGGTTTGACGTCACCTTACATTGAAGGCTTTGTACGGTTTTTATTTTCTCATAAAAATGTCGGTTGCAGTTGTAGAGAATTTTTTTTTTTTTTTTTTACCGGTTGTTAAACCAGTACAGTATTTTGTGGTTTTGTTTTTTGAGCATCTCTGTCCTAAAAGGACATGGTGATGCTCCCACTTAATATTTTTAAATATTAAGTGGGAGAGAAAACTATTTTTCAATGCTTTTTCCAGCGAACGCAAAGTTTATTGAGGGAATGTGATACTTTTGCGACATTGAAATATAATTTTTAGGATATAAAAGTTTCTTGGGGGGGAGAGCAATACTTTTACAAAAGCGATCAACCGCTCAGTTTCTCAGCAAAACTTACAAGAGTGTTTCTTGAGAGAATGCAAAAGTTTTGCTGGGGAACGCAAAATCATTGAAATGTACATTTTACTCCCATCTCATATTTTTTCCATCACTGTGTCCCTGTCCCCTTTATCAATCCCTCTTTATCAACAGCATATCACTTTGAATTTTCTCACCTCATGAGATTAAGCTATGCACATGGAGAAGGTCTGCCAATCCGTCCTTCTTGACAGCAGACCTGTCTTTAAAATTGTAGCAGTGACATTGTTACCAATTCTTCATGGGTTGTGTGAGCGGTTCCTCTCTGAACGATGCTTATTGGGTGCTATTGACTAAACTACCACATTATAGCTAGCTCATTCTGCCTTGTAATTGGTACCAGCTTTCTATCAAAAGCTACCAAACCACACAAGTGCCAGACCATTGAATATGTCCAAATCATCCATAGGGCTGAAGGTTTCATCCCAGTCACATGAAGATGAAAGGTCATGAGTTTCAATGACATATCTAATGTACCATGTTGAATTGCTCAGACCCTTTCTGGGAGAGAAGCGGTCTGCTGCTGAAGAACACCACATTGTTACTGATTTCTATAATTTATAACTTCTTGTTTGTTTAACTAATCGGATGTGTGAAATTGTGAGTGAAACTTTATGGCAGACAAAAATGTTTTAGTTTGTAAATGGCTTTCTGGTTTTAAGGAAATGCAGTGATCTCCCCTCAAAGGTGCTAAGATGAGACATTTTACCCATTATTATAAAATTCTATTATTTTAGCACTGACTCTTTTTTTTATGATTAAAGAGCACATTAAATTTACGTTTCTGTAGCACAATGATTAGAAAGTGAGTTTATCTCCGTTACAAGATACGTTTAATGGTATGCATTACCAAAATTCATATCACAATTCATAAGTGAAATGAATAGTCATGAGATTGTAGATAGAATTTTGGTTTCCATGTCTTAAATGCGGGCTTGCCTGAAAATACAATCAAGTTAGATGAATGATAAATAATCAATTTTAAAGGAAATGTTTTTCTCAGCAAGAAAGTTAATGATGTGACTCATTATGAAGACCTCAACTTGTCCTCAGTTTTCTGTTCATATTTTTCGTATTATAAATGTATTCGCCTAAATAAGGATCCATTTAACCCTCAACTGTCTTATACACATTTTTCGTAAGCCTTACCTCAGCTTGCACCATCAGTCCTCTTTTCTGTCATAAATTTGTTTTTGGGTCACCTCAGTTCCCCCATGATGAAACATTAATGTAATTTGTTCATTCCTCTGTAGCATGTTTTAATAAAATCTATTGTTTTTCTGTAAGTCTGTGATTGGGCCGTTCACTGTGCTTATTTTCGCGGTTCTCTGGAATACTCGATTCTGATCTTGACAATCCGGTGTAACGCAACCGATGCCATTTTGCGTCTCAATTATCGCTTGATTTGATATCGAAACTGATTTCAGACTTAAGAGTATAAGTATTAATACTTTTCATAGCAGAAATTTATGTTCACGTATTTATTTATTTTCCATTTAATAAACTCGTTTATGTTGCGATACTACTGACCGGCTGACTGTACATTACCCATACCTTAGCAGTGAAAACTCAACAAACGCACTCCTCTCTGTGGGCCAAGGATCTGCTCTTGCAAAAGAGAAGCTCTGAGATTAAACCAGGTGATGTAACATCAGCATTGCCCTAAATCTCACAGCCACAGTTACAGAACGCAGCCTGAGTGAAGTCTCTGTCTGTACGGAGGGAATATGCCCGCATTAATCTGTTTACAAAGACAGCGTCACACATGAATAGAGCCCCGGAGGATTTACCAAAAATCCTTCATTTTTCATCTCTACTCCCAAGATAAAAGGCCTCCTAGAACACCCACTATTGTCTCGCGCCTAGAGAAAATATCCCAGGTCGGTCAAAGAACACCCTAGAAGTTCAGCGTCTTATCATCTGGATTTTAATAATCCAGAAATACCGCTGAATTCTTTATCAAATCCTTACGAAACAACCTCAGAAAGTAACTGCCGCTGTCAGCAAGTTTTCCCTTCACTTTCAGAATATATTCAAACTGTAATGTACATTTCAGTTGCAAAGTCATAAGAATTAGATGTGGGAACAGGCTTGAAACTGAATGAATGAATAAATCAATTAAATTTATTTAAACTAGTTGTCAAAATTTCACATTTTACTTAGTTGAACTTGATGTAGTACAATAACTAAAACTGAAATAAAAATTCATAAAAATATCAATAAAAATTACAAAACAACAAAATTACTAAAGCTTTAAAATCAAAATGAAAAGAGCTAAAATAAAAACTACTTTAAAAGATGTTAAATAGAATATGATACTAAAATAACACTGATAATTATTACCATTAGTAAAATGCTCCTATTTTACTTTTCAAATAATTTAATTATAAAATATAATATCAGCACAACAATTTGAAAATACATGAATTTCAGAATTTCGCTGTATTCAGCATGTTGCCCTTTGCTTTAATGACCCCACTGTACATTTTTTGCTAAATAAAGAGCAACACAATAAAATACTACACAAATAACTGCTTGAAGATAAAATCATTTATTATTTTTCACCTTCTTATAATCTATAAAATGATGCCAGTCCGAAATAGTTAACTTGTAAAGCCTGGAAAAAAAAAAATTTGATCTTCAAATGACATGCTTATTGTCAAAGCTGCCATTTTTCATAATAAAAAATCCCTAATTTATTGATTACAGTGTGCATGTCACCATTCCATAATGCACTGGGTAAATCAGTTATCAATAACTTAGACAAGTTATTCCACTTCTGCTTCAAGTTTGTTATAGACTGTCTCAAGAGAATCTGTGAGTCATGACATTTTTTGCTGGTGTGAAACAAACATGAGAACTTTTTTTTTTTTTTTTTTTGTGAGTTTGTTAGAAAAATGTTCCATCTCTGGCTACAAACATATTAAAGGCTTTATGATACTTGCAAATGCTTTTGTTCAGCTCGAGGGTGCAGACGGAAACGTGTCAAAAGCGGCAGGTGGTCAGAGGAGTTGTGCTGGTTGGGAAGACCGTTAACCTTCTGCAGTTCATCTTCCCCCACCAGGGATAACCTGCCCAGGAGCTGCAGACCCTTCTCTGGTGGCACACTGCATTCTGGGTAAACGAAGGAAAAAATAGTGCCATGGTAACCAGCAGCAGCAGAAATTTTGCTGTTGAATGTACTGCACTGCAGCAAACTGCATAATCACAAGTCACATGATTACAGGAGCAGTGATGCATCACGTACATCGATAGTCTAGTGGCATCAGCTTCTACTTTGAGGATATTTAAAGGAATAGTTTACCCAAAAATTTAAGTTTGCTAAAAATGTACTCACCCTCAGGCCATCCAAGATGTAGATGAGTTTATTTTTTCATGGGAACAGATCTGGAGAAATGTTCGATTATGTCACTTGCTCATGCATTCTCTGCAGTGAAAGGATGCTGTCAGAATGAGGTTAATGATGGATTTGTTTATTATAAACAAGCAGCTTTTCCCTTCACAAGACATTAATTGATGGACTGGAGTCATGTGGATTACTTGTGATGTTTTTATCAGCTGTTTGGACTCTCATTCCAACGGCACCCATTCACGGCAGAGGATCCATTGCTGAACAAATGAAGTAATGCTAAATTTCTGATGAAGAAACAAACTCATATACATCTTGGATGGCTTGTGGGTGAAGTACACTTTCAGCAAATGTTCATTTTTAGGGAACTGTTCCTTTTACGCAAATACATGTTTATGTGGTGACAGCAACCACAATAGCTGCAGAAATAAATAATCGGAATTTTTATTTGAAATGAAATGCTACATTACACAACAACTATTTCCAATGAATTTAAAAGAGAATAGTAATGTAATGGTCGAACCTGCTTGAGCCATCACATCCCCCAGAGCTGCGGAGTAGAAGATGTAATCGACGGTGATGGCTGTCCGTGAGTGGCATGTGGTGATCTCAGGTTGACTGCTCTCTTTCAGGTAGTGGGAGTATGCAGAGGTCAGCTTCAAACAGTGCTCAATGCTGGCCTTGGTAAAACTACAAACAGATCGCATGAGAGAAGAATAATCACTGTTAGAATTTAAAGGAAACCCGGGGTTTTAAGAAATTAATGGCTCAATATAACGTAAAAGATGTCTCTTACTTAAATATGTAGTAGAAAACCCATGAAAGATTTAAGTTATTTTAAAAAATCCACATTGTTTTATATATATTTTGGACTATTGGGGCGCCATTATTTCGATGACGTCAAATGGTTGCACTCTGTGAGCTACTGGAGAATACACAACAGAATACACAACACGGAACATAAAATACTGATACGATGACCACAGCTACTGATAGAGCTTACAGGTGACGATGGAAATAAGCGTAGGCTTAAACCAAATGCCGCACCATCGATTTTTTCCCACAAGGAGTCTAAACGCCCCGGATATTGGGTGAAATCCACGCTGAGAAACTCCTTCAGTGGCTGCAGAATCATGACAAGGGTCGGCATATTTACATCCTGCCAGGATGGCATCTAGCATTTCTTGTCTCTGCCGTTTGTCAGCTACTGAGCTGTGGTCTACTAAAAGCCTCAAAGGCATCAGGGCTAAAGTGGAGAGAACAAAGATGCGGGTCTTTAGGAAGTTTATTCGTCCACAGACATCTTCCCATTCCTTTCTCCTCTTCTTATCGCTAGGAAAGCAGTGAAGACTTACATCACATCTCTTGCTGCCCTTCAACTGAAAATTACAACCAAAAAAAGTCGCACAATGTGACATCATATCAGTATTTTATTTTCCTAGATGTGTATTCCGAGTTGTGTTGCGGTAAAAAATAGCAACAGGTAGCGCCAGTAGCTCACCGAGTGCAACCATTTGACGTCATCGAAATAATGGTGCCCACATGGACCAACATATGAATAAATCGATGTGGATTTTTAAACAATGTAAACACAAGGAACACAAAAGATCTACAGAAACTTTACTTAATACTTTTATCAATGCGACTGGCATGACCGAATCAAGCAAGGCACTATAGAAATATGGATTTATATTTACCCATCCGGTTCTGCCCGCTCCAAATCCCTCAAATCAGAATCTGTGGAAAGATTTCAAACTAAATGTTAGTAGTTGCATAAAATTTTCAAAGTTGTTCCAAAATTACATTAAAACTGGGACTGTCCCTGTTGAAATTAATATTACTGTATACTACATTATAAGATGAAATTTCATAAAATGACTGAGAAAATGACTTGCATCCTTTAGTTTCAGATGCCACTTGGTTTGATATTTTAAATCTAATCTAATGACATTCATACATTTCTAAGTTGCTGTAACTGTTAATAGCAGAGGAGCAAAAAAAGTTCCCATAATGGTTAACGTACACAACTGGTCAAAAGTTTGGGCCACTAAGATTTTATTTTATTTTTTTTAATTCAGCAAGGATGCATTAAATTGATCAAAAGTGAGCATAAAGACATTTATAAAATTACATAATGTTACATTCATTTGAATCAAAATACTGAGCAGCACAACTGTTTACATTGATAATAATAAAATGTTTCTTGAGCACCAAATCATCATATGAGAATGATTTCTGAAGGATCAAGTGACACTGAAGACTGAAGAGTAAGAGTATAAAAATTCAGCTTTACCATCACAGAAATAATTTACACTTTAAAATAGAAAACAGTTATTTTAAATAGTAATAATATTTCACAATATTACGGTTTTGACTGTATTTTTGATCAAATAAATGCATCCTTGGTAAGAATAAGAGACTTCTTTCAAAAACATTCAAAAAAATTTCAGACCCCAAACGTTTGAACAGTACATATAATGATCATTAGAAATAACATTTCAACACACTGTAGAACATAATGTTAAATTATTTATCTGATAAGTTTCTAAATGTTCTTGGCAATTATTATCCAATTAGTGTCTGTTTACATTATACAGTGGGTATGGAAAAGAATCACCCCCTTTTAAAATAAACACATTTTGTTGCTTTGCAGCCTGAAATGAAGATGGACACAGTTTTTGTTTTATTCAGCTGTATTTATGTGCAACTTACAAGTGAAAGATATAACACCAACATGTCAGGAAAAAAAAAAATAGAATCACTGAGTTGGAAAAAGGATCACCCCCTTGTGTCAGTATTTTGTTGAACCACCTTTTGCTTTAATTACAGCCTTTAGTCTGTTGGCATTTGTCTCTACTAACTTTGCACATCTAGACTTCGCAATATTTGCCCTCTTCTTTGCAGACTGCTCAAGTTCAGTGAAATTTGATGGTGACCGTTTGTAGACTGCAGTCTTCAAGTCATTCCACAGATTTTCAATGGGGTTTAAGTCTGGTCTCTGACTAGGCCATGCAAGGACATTCACCTTTTTCTCCTTCAACCACTGTGTGCTCAGTTTTGCTGTGTGCTTTGGGTCATTATCATGTTGGAAGGTAAACCTTCTTCCTATTGACAA